CGGCCGCAATACTAAAACTTCTTTTCGTAATATAAAATTTAATACAAATACTTCCCAGATGCAACAGTTTCAAACGGAAAACATGTGGAATCAGGTGAAATCAAATCCTGCATTCTTTCAGCTTGATCTTCAAGAAACCTATGTACGCAAGGCCCCTGCTGAGCAGGGTCTTACTTTACAGTTGGATTTGGATATTTTACAATTGGGTGCCCGTTATCATTTGAGCATCTGGGAGAGATTGGGACAATTTTGGTTATATTTTGCCTCCTTTTTTGGCATTTCGTTTTATATCATGAATAAGGTAAGGATTTTCTATTCGGTCATCATATTGTTCGTTCATGGGAAATCATACCCTGGAAAAAATTGTACTGACATAGGAATGGGGAGCGCATTTATTTGGATGATTATTCGGAAACAAGTGTGTTTTAAAGGGACTTTTAACTTAATTATAAAACTTATAATTTTTTCAGAGAATAAAAATATTTTATGAATTTCGATTCTGTTGCTAAAATAGAGATTTAACATGAAATTAAAAGCATTTTTTCATAAATTTGTTGTTTCATTTTTATTTATAATTTTACGCACAAGTTATGCATATGCGTTTTCACCAAAATAATATAATTAACAAATTTTCAAATTATTAAAAAAAATAATAATTATATGCACTTATTATAGACTAGGTAAAGTGGTAGTGTAAAGTGGGGGGAAGAGGGGATCTATTTTAAAGTTTTACAATAACTACACAAACATTTATTTATAAAATTTACTATAACTTCAAAAAATATGTGTATATTTTACAAAAATAATAAAGTTTTTGGAAATAAATTATATAAAAATTTAAACAAACATAAATGTTCCATATTAGGACCCTTAGAAGAATGAATTAAAAATACAATTTTGAAAAATTTTGATTTCCTTCGTTTCAATTTCAATGCCAAACAACTGTAAATCAACTAGAAATATATCAGTTCCGACTGTATGATATTTTTTACTATAACTTTAATAGTAACGAGATACCGAAATAGCAAGTTTCCTAACCTCTATGCAGTTTTAGATTCATTCATTTAGGTGCAATTTTTCAGGCACTACCAGATAATAACTATAAAAATTGTTATCTTTTTTATAATTGCCTAAGTTGAATTTAATTTGAAAAGAACTAGTCTGTGCTGACTGGTCCATTCACTAGTCTATGAACTATTCTATTGACAATTTGATTGACTAGTCTATGGACTATTCAATTGTTAAGTCTATGAACTGACAATGACTACTCTACAGTCTATGGACTAGTTTATTATTTAAGACAATGGACTAGTCTATTGAGTAATCTATGGACTATTCTATTGTATTTTTAGTCAATTTACTGCTCTATGGACGAGTCAATATGTTTGTTATTAGACTAAACAATGGGCTGGAAAACGGACTAAACAGTCTATTAACTATTCTATGAACTAGTCAATTTACCAGACCTGGGCGATTTCCATTAATTTTGCATTAACATTAAATTAAAAAAATTAATTTAATGTAAAAAATATTGCATTAACATTAAATTTGTAAAATTTAATGCATTAAATTTCCATTAACATTGAATATTTTTGAATTTAATGCATTAATTTTACATTAACATTAAATATTTTTGAAATTAATGCATTAATTTTGCATTAAATTTAAAAATATTTAATGTTAATGCAAATTTAATGCATTAAATGTACCCATGTTAATGTTAATGCAATAAACTTGCATTAACATTAATTTTTTTTAATGTAGAAAGAATTGTTAATGCATTAACACATTTAATGCATTTATCCCAGGTCTGCAATTTACTAGCCTTTGGACTAGTTAATATACTTGTTAATACACTAGACAATGAACTAATCTTTTATTCATTTCAAACTGTAATAAATTGAATTTAAACGAAAGGAATTTAACTTTCCATCAGAGAATTAATTCAGCTTTATTTTACACTATTAATTAATTCTCGAAGTCATTTCTTAAACACCTCTTCAATATTATTTCATTTATTTCTAAAAATATATCAACATAAAAAAGAAAAAAACCTATTTGTTTTGTTTAATAATTAAAAATTTTAATAGAACTTTAAATATAATATAATTTGCGCCAAATTTGTGGACAAACAAATTTTGAACCACAGAAATTTTACAAGAATTTTTTACAATTAATAAGAATAAAAACAATGAAAGTTTCTTTTTTTTTCAGTAAGCATAAACTTTAACATAATAAGTATATTACTTTGACTGAATATATTTAAAATTTTCATATCTTACAACAAATGTTTAACTAAACACCTGCAAACATACATAACATTTTAGCCCTTTTACTAAAAAAATAATTAATTAAAAAAAATTAAATTTTTAATTAGTTATAATTAAGATACAAATCAATTGGCAACATATTTACTTTTATTTCATTTTTTTTGTACCTTAACTTATATAAAATATGTTTCATTGTATATAATATTTTCTGTTATTTTTATGTATATTCT